TAAATATTCATGTTTGCCTCTGCAAATATCAATATTTCTCATTTCGCTTTAGTAACTTTACTATTGGAAGCCGCTGTTAGTAGTCGCTTACGAAGTGGAATTCAAGCGCTCGTTTACTAAACTCCATGCGATGATTTCCTGCACTTTACAACAACATTAAATTATTTATTTATTTTCGATTATCATTTGCAACTGCAAGACAAAACTCCGTGCCAGTTGCAGCACCGCTTGGGCATTATGTCGCTCGGCCATTTCTGGAAATAGTTTAACAGTTTTAAGTTACTTCAGAACAGCAAAGCAAACAAACAACTTACCATTAAAGAACTTGATGACATCCGTAAAGTCCATGCTGTTCGACAATATTATGTCACGATAAGTCTCCAGTAGCGCTAGAGCGAGAAAGAGCACGAAATGACTGGAGGCGACATGTTTGGCCGCCCAAATAACTTCCCAGGTCGCGAACACATCATCATAAACAAACTCACGCTTGAAATCCAGCAAGAACCAGCGATAACAAAAATAGAAATGTGTGTAGTCGCCGTTCGAATCCATTAGGTCATACATCTCCGAATCCAAAATTTGTATGAGTGAACTGTAATATTGTTTGAGAGTTCAATTTTGTGCTACAATTGTTAAGGAGGTGGCAATTTCACTTACCGCATATTCGCAAAGTGCATGTCCATGGCCCCGCCATTCGGAAAGTTCTCGATCATGCGCTCCATAAGCTTGCAGAAACAACTGTAACACAGTGACTCGTCGTCAAATATTACGAGCAATGGTGCGACCAAGTCACACATGCCTTGCATATAGCCGACCTCCAAATGTTCCCACACATAACTGTACAAAAAGACAGACATAATTTAATCAAAGCAAAAGTCAGGCTAAACTAGAAGCGCTTACGTCGATATAACATTCCTGAGTTTGTCCAAATTCTCATTGGCAAAATACCAGTAATTTCGATCGCAGCGTTGCACATCTTTTTCGATGCGATGTAGGTTCAAGCCGAATTGTTCCAGCAATTCGCTCTGAAATGAAGAAATGGGGATCAAAATATTAAATATAATTAAATTCTTAGTTGCTTTAGGGGAGCAAGCTATTAGAAATCTAAACTCCTCTAAAACACATTCTCTGGCATCAAATGATCTACTGAGCCTTAAAAAATTTTTGCGACCCTGTATTTATTAACTTCAATTAATTTTGCAACCAACTTACACTATAAACACCACCATTCGAGCTTGCCGGTGAAACACAAGCCGATTTCGGTTCCTGTAATGCATCCATAATAGAGCGACTACTCACAACAGCAACTTCGGCATGCGCCTCTATGGATCCTTGTTCCAATAAAGTTGGCATTTGTTCACATTCCGATTTTACGTCCGGCAGCCAATTAGCCACATCAATGGAAGCATTCGTTACAATAACAGCCGAAGGTCGACCAGCAACATTCGTCTCTACTGCTGTCAGATCACGCTCAACTTCGTCGGCAACGTCAAGTTGTGCCGGCAAGTCATCGGCGCTCAAAAATTCCGGACTCAGCACGCTCTTATCTCGCTCTTCTGTGGAATTCAAATTCGCCGATATTGATGTATGCAGATTCAATTCAGTGTAGCCAAAACCAGCGCCAACCGTTTCATATGAAGACGAAGATGGTGAGGTCTTTTCGCTCTGAGCGGGTTGTGAGCACTCGTCAGCTGCTTCAACCGGCATTTGCTCGTTTTTGTTGCTTTTATTCGAAATTGGTTCATTGATGCCTGCATCAGTGACCTGCTCTTTTGGCAACGTAACTTCTTCTTGTGGTCTGTAGATATCTTTATTCATGTCTTCTTCGTCCTCATCTTCTTCCTCCATTGTTTCGTCTACATTTCCCGAGTCAGTGCTTGTCTTCATAGCGCGTGGTATGGGTTTGACGGTTAGGTAATTTTGTCCATTTCCTGTTGCTGCCTCGACTTGTGCTTGCCGTTGTTGCTCTTCGTCGTACTCTAACTCACCAGGATCCGAAATATCAGATATATCTTCAAAAACTTCATTCTCTAATTCACCCTCGTCTATATAGGCGGCACGCACAGTCTTATCATTGCCACTATTGCTGCCCGAACTGAGTTTGGCCACAGCACGTGCTGTCTTCTCCTTTTCCCGTTGCTGTACAATTGCATCCACTGCCAACCATTCGCTCATTGTCGTCTCGTAATAGTGTTTGCAGGTCTCATCTTGTTTCTGTCGCTCCTCTGATGTCGAACCAAAACTGTTGACGTCAATTCTTTAGATACTGTTTAGTTGGTATTTTGTTTTTGAAGACTAACCTGTAATGTCCAAGCAGATATGGCCATATTTCCTTCCGCAGTTCTGGGCACACCCCACCAAAATACACAAGCCGATAGACGTCCACTTCGTTTTCAACAACACCATTGACATTTAAAGCTTCCCAGCGCTCTTTTGTTAGCCCATCCTCATCGGCTTTTACTAAACGAGTTGGTAAGGTTATGTTTTAAAAGACAAAGATGAGCACTATTTTTCAGCTTACATTCCGGTGTTATGCGTCCATTTACCAACCCTGAGAGATGAGTGCGTACTGTTGACAAGTGTCTGCAGTAGGCTAGCCAACCATAAAATGCTCTCGATATTATTTGTCTTCTCATTGTTGAGCAAACCATCTCAATACTCGTATTTTGTTTTGTCTGGACCTACAGAAAAAGACAGAGGGCAGTCTAAATTGCAACATGGTCTTCGAAAGATCTGATAATTTTCATTACTCCTTGCAGTTATGAGGTAGTAATACCTATTCTTACAAAATATTTAAGTGAATCCTCACTCAAAACTATCGGCTGTGAAGGCCGTCAGCTTTGGGTTTCCACATAAAGAGCTTAAAAATGACATTGTGGTCAAGTATTATCAGCGCAAGAAATGTCTTCAAAATCATTTGTAAACCTAAAGATTTTCTTACCAATGGAGATTCCAGAGGATGCTGATCTATAGAGAGACTCTTGCTCGAGCAATCGCTCGACCCAGTTGTCGAACAGCTGCTTAATTGCGCACGACGTGGAGTGCTGCGCACAAAATCCAGTATGGAATGCGTAGCAGCTGAAAATAGTAAAAAATATGTCATTAAATATTTCCAGTATAATAATTAAACTATAGAAAGGCTTACCAAACTCTTCATGTTTGCTTTTGCTCACAATGCGAAAGACGTAATCAATTGGGGTCTCATCAAACGATTCCATGACTGAGGGTAAAATACGCCTGCGTACACTCTTCGGCCATGGAAATATTTTGCCGATGCCACGTTGTGACCAAAGCGGTGGATCCAGCTGACCATGCGGCAGTAAGCCTGTCTCCAAGCAACTTAGGAACTGTTGCATGTGTCCACCTTCTGGAAAATGTATCGGCGGACGTTGCACACCATCCTGCCCAACCAACACTATAATACCGCCACTATCTTCACCACGATTCTGATGGCAATGCACGTACACAATCTCATCGACATTGATATTGAGCGCATAGGCCCAGTATGACTCCTTATCCTGCTCCTCATTATCCTCCTCCTCCTCCTCATTGTAACCGTTCATGAGTTGATTTGGCGTCCACTTAATGATGAGCGTCTGCACATGTTGATGTAGACTCAAGTAACCGGGCATTTTCTCATTTACGTCTTTCTATGGATTTGAAAGAATTTGAAATTATTAATACTTATCTTTCATATTATAAATCAGAAGTTTTTATTTACCGGCACCACATAGACATTATTCTTTCCATATAACAGTGTGGCTCTGGAGTTTTGATGCAACGACTCAACATAATCTTTGGCCACTGTAGTAGAAGCTATGGATTTGAAGCCGGCGGCGGTGGTGCAATCGTCTGTGCTGGTATTTAGACTACGTTTGAAATTTAATATTGGCGCTCTTGAGCAAGTTGAGGATGAACGGCGTCCCGAACTGATACGGTGGCGTTTGACCTGTTGGGGAGCAGCTATTACCAATAATTTGGAGTCATTGACATTTAATTTACTAACCAGTTCGTCAGCATGCGGATCAGTCCAGTAATGATCGGCAGTTTTGACTCGTGTGAACTCCAAAGCACATGGCCCAACCAAAAGCGAACTCAATATGGAGCCATAGTCTGAGTCGGCTACGAGTGAGTCGCGATCGTAATAAGTACTAGCATTTGCCACTAAGTATTCAATTATTTTAGCCAACTTCTTTTCGAACAAAGCCAAGCGAATCCATAAGTATCTAGGTAAGAAACGAATATATTTGATACAAATTATTTTTTTAAACTGCTATCTTCCTCTCTCTCTCTCTCTCTCTCTCTCTTTCTCTTCCTCTTCCTTTTCCTATCCAGGTCTCCCTCGTTCTTTACATTATCATACCTAAATGAAGTATAGAGAGTTTCATCGAATTTGGGGTGACGAAGTCGGGTGTAATATGAGTCTGATTAACATTAGGAGTCTTTTATAAAAACTTGATCATTTTTATCTTACAACTGTAGCTCCATTTATACCTTTCAGTAACTTCGCAGACAAATTTTTGCGTACTAAGTTCATAGTAGGATTGAAAAATGTATCTATCAGTTTCTAATTTTATCTAACGAATCTGTATGTTGGGTAGACTTTTACAAAATCTATCAAAATATCTGCTAACTTCGCTTCTTCAACGCTACAGAGATTGTAATAAGGTGGTCCACCTCTCGTCACGAACTGAAGAACCTTACTGGCAAGCGCTAAAACTGCTCATAGCGGAGTTCCTCAGTCCTCTCAAGGGGTTCGAGGGGGTAATAATAATAGTGAAGGAGAAAGAAGGAGACGATATACAGACCGTGAAGGTAGACCCCCTCATGACGAACCCGGCTAGTAATAAGAGCGAATCGTCAATTAGAAATCCTGCCTTTAGTTTAGAGCGACTGTTCGAAGAGAAACGGAAGGGAGGAGAATAAAGGTAAATCTCCAACATGCAAAGGTGTCTTCCGTAAACATACTGTTATCTCTGGAACTATATGGAGCCGACGGCTAAGCAGCTATGGAATTATTGGATTAAGAAGAAAAATTATATGTTGAGAGTTCAGCCATTTAACCTAACCTAATATAGCCTTTGGTTTGACTAGATACCATATTTAGAGAGAGAGGATTGTTGTACAAGATTTAAAAAGTATTCTACATCCCTAATTCTTCAATCATTACTTAAACCATACTCACTTCATTGACGCCATCGTGATATTGGAACCACTTAAACTCATCGTCGTGACCGAGGTGCTGCTACCCTTTTTCAACATAGGCGGACGATTTACACTATCACTACTAGATGATGAACGTTTACTTGGATCGGCTGTTTCGATTTCCAACACTTTCTTGCTAATACATTCGGCATCTTCGCAGGTTTTGGCGATTTTATGTAGCAAAGCTGTTGTGGAGGAGGTCTTAAATAGACCCAAAGCACGTCGACGCAAACCCTGACTCAAACAAGCTTCAACAGCGGCGCATAGCTGTGTTACCGAACTGCTTTCTTCGTGTATGTATTTCTTGGTGACAGCCTCTTCCATCAGCTGTTTGACCTCCTTTTTAACAGCGGCTACGAGACGCTCCTTGAGCTCGATTTCTGTAGGAAAGAGAAGTTAAACAAATAGCATATTAGGAGTGCCATGCTTAAATGTGCTTTTGGAAATTAAATTAAAGTCATAATTACTCTAGAGCATCACATTACCATCAACGTCCAACATTCCAGCTAAGATTTCATACATTTCTGAAATGAGAACTAGCCTTAGTCACCAATACATTACGATGCCACCACTCTGATGTCAGTAAAAAAAAAAACCGTTACACAAAGTATTGCCCTATAGCCATGGGTGTATATGTGTTCCGGCTAAGTGCAGACTTGCTGTAATTGACTATGTGCTCGTATAATTTTTATGATTGAAATCACATAAAATTTCACCATTACCGACATCAGCACACTTAGCGACAGCGAGGGTGGCAGCAGCGTTCAGCCCGTCAGTCGGTAGCCAACCGAACGGTCGGCCGGTCTATAGTCGGTCGGTGGTCTGTTTGTGGTCGGTCGGTCGGACAGCAGCTGTGGATCAAAAGAAAGTCGCGGCATTGACAAGGAAGCCCACAAAGACAGCGCCGGGTGAATGACAAGGAGAAAAGTAATTCAACGACAACAACAACACGTAAAACATATATAAAAGCGTGGTGGTTGCATGGCGCGACGCGACACAGCAAGCGTTAAGTACTAAACACAGTCATTAAGCAGTACACAAGCGTCGCAGTCAGCCAATGGAGCAACAAGTGACTAACCAAAACGTGCATTGACCGTTAATTGCTGCCCTATTACTCATAAAATATCTACATGGACATGTAGTTTTGGTATGTACATATGTGTTGTGTGCCACAAAATGTTGCAGCTGAGTTAATGAAACGAAATATTCTCGCACACTTTCCTTCCGGGCATTTCGCTTAATTGCATGATTTACGAGGCGACCCATAAAAGTTCGATTAAATAACCACAAAAAGTAGCTGCTTTGGTAATAGCTGGTGGAATTAATATTATGAATAAGAACTGTGGAACTGTACTATGCATAAGCATATTCCTTTGACAGGAGACTTATGCAAGAGGTTTCTTTTTCAGCTATACAAAGACTCGACTTTAATAAACGAAGGCAAGGCTCACATGACACTATTGACAGTCATAACGAAGTCGTAAATAGTTTCATCTGCTTTGGAACTAGCTTTACTACTAATAACATTGTTAACCTCAAAATACAACGCATATCCTTAACAACAGGAGCTACTTTGGACTGAGTAGAAAATTGAGAAGTAAATTTCTCTCTCGACGAACAAAACCCGAACTCTACTAGTCATTCATAATCTCTATCCTGCTATATGATGCAGAGACGTGGATGATGATAATATCTGATGAATCGGCGTTACGAGTTTTCGAAAGAACGGTACTTTGGCAACGGCGAGTACAGTAGTCATTGGAACGATGAGCTGTACGAGATACATATATAACGACATTGACAAGGGACAGCGACTAGGCTGTCGTCCGAATGAATGAAAAGACTCCAACTCTGAGGGTCTACGTCGAATAGTACCCGCCAGGGAAAGCAGACGAAGAGGAAGATCACTCCGTTGGAAAGACCAGGAGGAGAATTACCTGTCTACAGTATTAATCTTCAATTGCCGCTAAATGAAATGGAATATCGTCTGGCGCGCTATTGGAAACTCGGCTATACCCATGTAAGCGATGTCTACACCAATAAAGAAGAAGACGAAAACTCGACTGAGACTCGTTTCTCAAGTTTTTATTGCTGTAGCGAAACAAGACATTCCTAAATGATTTTTAAGATTACTGACCATGTGACAGATATTCGTCCAAGTCCGTTCCCATTACACAGTATCTTGCGGGTGCGAGTATCTACTCTCAATCAACGATCTAACATCAGATTTACTGATCCTCAACTGTCAACTCTACCATGAAGCTGTGAAGATAAAGATAAACTCTTTCGTGTGAAATCTATATGTTATTGAGCGCAACTTTCCGAATAAATAAATGAGAGAGAGAATATTTCATGCCGTGGGACTTTTTTGCAGTCTGTTACATAGCAAGAGATCGCCCTCTTCCCGCTTTCCGTATACAAGGTTATGTTAATTTATGTAAACAGCTTTATGTTCGTGCGCCAGAAATAATCGCACTTAGACTACTAGAGACGTACATCCGTTGAGATGCCAAGAACTCTTAAGTTTGAATCCAAAAGACAAAATGTTTGAAACCTGTCATTTTCTGCGACATGAAGCTTGAAACTCTCGAACACCTTCTTATTGACTGTACATAATCTTGTATCTATGTTTTCAAATAGGGATCACCGCGTCACAGTAAGACCTAGCGGTATATTGGAATTTTTCAATATGCTGAAGCTAAGTGAGTCGTTGTAACTTAGGAGGGGCACAATAGACCTTATGTTGCTCTGCAATCCTCATTTATTTATTTAAGCCTTTCACAAATGATGATCGGGATGGCAAATGTCAAAAAGAAGTTTGGCAAAACCTGAACAATAGATTAAAAAATGGTTTTACTCATCTTCTTCCGAGCGACTTTTACAAATTGTGTTCCTCAAAAACTGTAGCATCAAGAGAACAACAAGACGATGTATAGTCAGAACTCTTTTCGATTATAATTCTCGTACAAATTTGCTGAGCGTTGACAGTTTATTTCTGACTTTGGAGATACCAGAAGACAAGTTTTTCTTATGCATGTTCCAAACCTGATAAAGCTAGAAAACTCTTCGGCTTGTCTTCGCCTTCCATCATCCTTAACTTTAAAATTCACTCAAGTATAATAAACTTGAAGACTCGCTTCGAAAACTGTTTCAAGATGCTCAAGTAGATGAAGCTCAATGGTACTCGTTATATAAATATTTATAAAATAAAAAGCAAACTCTCGCTAATCCAAAGAACCGAATATTTTAGCTGAACATATCTCCAGAAACAATTGAACAATCCCAACTTTAAGCAACAAAATATTTGCCTTTCATTAAACAGACTGTACGTATATACTGAGTCAACTGCTCTCTAATCAATGGCAAGTCTCATCGGTGCCGGTATCTACATATGGGAGGTCCCATTGTACACAACAAACAACAGTCAAACAAATAAAAACAAACATTGAGTCACTAAATCACACCAAGTAAGTTGGACAACGACCCTGTGCACAATTGCAACGGCAGTGATTATGATCCAAGCCTCCAAAGCACCTACTCCCCAACCGCCAACCCTGCACAGCGCTGAAACATTATCACGCGGCTGGTTGAGACCCACGTCTGCCGCCCATTTACGTGTTCTCGTCGACGCCAACATAAATATGGCACAATGTCCTTCGTCGGTGTTTTGTTGATGCGACATTGACGATTATGAGGTGAATCCGCCAGTCAATCGAATGAGGACAATGGCGAACGCTGGCGCCAACACACTGGGTGGGTTATGTAAATAGTACCTACGTGCACTGGGCTTAATGCGGGTGCAGTGGCAGCAAGAAAGAAACACAACATGTGGCCACCGGCAACAATTTGTTGTGGCATCATCTTTAAAGGTATGCAAAGTAGCGGAAAAATCAAACAATGAGCTTGTAGTTATTGTAATACTATTACTTAGCCCGGCATACAGGTGTTCGATTTGCATAAATGTTTTATAATTCTATTATTACTTTATGTATCTTTAGCATAAATAAAAAGCAGTGGAAGTTGTATTACATGATTTTCTCTCAGAATGTCCATACTAATCTTATAACATATTTCCACCTTAAAGCTTGTACTAAAATTCTCTAATCAATATCTACCTAATAACGTGAAGATCTTAATGCTGCTCCAGTATTACAGTGGCTATTTAAGAGCTGAGAATTATTGTAGAAGGAACCCTGAGATAATCTCAGACAAAATTAGCTTTAGAAGTGATAAGTGGTGCTCTAACTGATCTTTCTAAGTTATTAGTTCGATACCACACCTATGAAAATTTAGGATTTGTTCTTATATTCAAAAATTAACAAAATTTAAAAATACTACAACAACAAAAAAAGTATCTATTATAAAATTTTGAAATATTTTCAGTACTAATTAGAGTTATGCAAGGCTTTAAAAATAGAAATAGAGTAGCAGCAGAGGAGTATTCAAACTCGTAGGTAGACTACTGTTATGCGCATACAAACAAGCACACAATGACACTGAAATATTTAAAAATAGAAAATTAAAAATGAATGTAATGCAATTATTAGCATTGCAACTGCAGTTTCCACGCTTCTGCATAGTGCTGCTATATTCAATTACTGCGGGGTAATCAACGCCTCCATGGCGCTTGTGTTTCTAATTTGTTTGACTAGCAGTGTTGGACGTGAAATGCACAAATGTCTAGAGGTGGGTGTTGAATAGTTCAATTATACACAAATACATGTACAGTTACCGTTACATTTACGTTTCGTACGTTGGAAACTAATGCAAATGTTAGTTGTTGAATGAAGTGTTGTGTAAATTAAGTGCACACTTCAAATGGAATTACTGCCAAAAATATTTCAACTTAATTTATTTTTCAAAGTAATTAATTTATTAAAACAATTAATTTAAATAATTAATAAGAAATCTCAATTATATTTCTAAATTCGATACAATTACCTTGAAATTATGGGCAAAGTCTAAAATATTCCTCTTAAAAATTATAATGAATTATTTGATTGAAATTTATTTTTAACTAGCTGGCAACTCTGTCAAAACTATTATACTTTAAACTAAGTTTTTTGAATTTATCACTTACGTGAGTTCCATTTGATAACTATTCTTGATTCTTATATTGAAGTGAGTTTTTTTCAGGCAGGTGGCAACTCTGGCTATTTTCTTTTTTTATTAAAAGTTCGTCAAAAATCAAAAATTTTACTCAACAACATTACATTTGTTAACTGTTATTTATTTTCATTCTGCAGCGAATTGTCCTAAAGACAGGTGGAAACTACTACAAAGAACACGGACTTATATATCCAAAATCGATACAATTATCTGGAAATTTCGAACAAAATCTAAAATGTTCCTCACCAAAACTATAATAAATTATTTTATT